TGCTTTGCTGGGAAATGGGGGGGGACAGCAGGTAGTGACAGGAACGCCACCTTGTATATCTGTATAATATTTGTTACAGGAAACTTATGTAGATAAGAAAAATAGAACCTTTATAAAGTTACAAAATCAGCTTAATACCGCTGTCTAGAAATGGCCATGTGTTATATTGGGGTGTATATTCTTTGGGATCTTTTCTATGTAAGTTTATGGGTGTTTTTCCAAGAATTTTGTACTGTATAATTTTAACTAATTCTTTGACCTTCTCCACGCAACAATTCATTGTGATATGCTATCTGAGTGAACACACAAAAAGAAAAGCACTCAGTTTTATGGCTACACAATACTTACCAACAGTCACCCTGTTCATTTGAGTCTTTCCAGTTATAGTAGCTATCCGGTTATAGTTACTACATACATGATACTGTGACACATACCTCTGGGTACATGTATTTTTATTAAGGTAACTGATTATTAGGATAAATTTCACTTCCAGGTCAACTTGTACATACCTATTTTTAAGGCTTTTTGCTGGGTATTGCCTTCCCAAAGTGGAAAGAAGAACACCCATTTTACTTTAAAGGTTTATTTTTTAATGCAGACAGAACTGGGGTATAAGCCAGAGGTGCACGGGGTGAGAGGATTCCCCAGAGACAGAGCGGGGAGCAGAGCAGGGGGATGTACTGACATACACTGCTGAGGGGGCAGCAGGAGGGGTCTGCTGTGCCCTGTGGGTCACTCCCTGGCTGGGGACTGAACTCATGCTGAAGTGTCGAAGTTTTGCTGAAGCAGCTGTGGGTAGCTTCCTAGCACTAAGCGTTAGTCAGTTGCGCCCCCAGGGACAGCCCCCATTCTTTTTTAAAAGAAGAGAAGCTTTCGCGCAAAGGGGCCACACAAAGATTTTGCAGGCTGGAGTCACCCCGGAGTGAAATGGGTTGGGTCACAGTGTTGTGGCCACTGCTGGATACTTGCTCCCGAACGTCTCGCTTTCCTGTTTTTACACATCACCTGTAGCTGTAAAGTGTCGCCTCACATTTCACGGTCCGGTGCTGGGGGTCAGCCTACGTCCTATTTGTGATTTTAAACTTTGGAGGGTTTTTTTTTTTTTTTTAATGTTTATTAAAGACAAGTAGACAAGTAGAACCCCAGCAATAAGTGATAATTTTCTGTTTTTCCTCATTTAGGTCTCAACTTTCTGTGCTGTGGGGTCAACCGTAAGAGAGGTAGATCTGATGTGTATCTGCTGAAGAAGCATGAGCTCCTTGCAGTAACTAGCAGCCAGCTCTTCTTCCCCATAACACTTCCAGACTTTCTGTGTGGTAGTACACGGTCTTCAGAGAAGGCTGTGGGTGTCCTGCAGACCTCAGCTGACGGCAGCTCCCTCCCTCTGCCCACTCCAGAAGAGTCGCTGTCTTAACACAAATGTGTACTTTCCCACAGCTCCATGGTGTGACGTGAAGCAACTGACTACCTTTTGTCTTCTCAGAATTGTCCCGTAACCTCCATCTGTTTTCAGTAGACTGGTCTCCACCCTTGTTCTTCCCTGTCCGTGCACCTGTCGTCCCCTAACCCTCCTCACCCTGAACGTGGGGCTTAGTAACTCGTACTGATGATGATAATTCTAGTGCTCGTGGAGAATTTACTGTATGTTAAGGCTCATCCATGACTGACATAATTTTTATAGCACCCCATGAGGTACATGCTGCTGTTCCTCCATTTTATGGACCAGGTACCTGAGACTCAGACAAATTTTAATCGAACCTAGGTGTTCTGACTTCAGAGCCCACGTTCCTGCCCGGTGCTGTTACTACTCCCTTCACTAATCTCAGCGTGTGTGTGTGTGCACTGGTGTGACTTAGAACAGATTAAATACTGATTGTTGAGTGGTACGGACGGACTGGCTGTCCTTGCTGGTGGAGAAAATGGCCCAGAAGGGGACTTCCTCTCTGACCTTGATTCTCCTAAAAACAAAAAAACAAGTCTGAGCTCTTTATGTGCCCCTAATGTTGATCACTTTAGAAAATAAGTTAAAAATTAATGTAGATTGATGCCAGTGAATGGTGACTGACTCTCTACTGGGTTCTAGGACCCTTAAAACAGTTTGTCCATCAAAAGCCACCTTTTTATCCAGGCAAATTCAGTAATCGTAGCCCATGCTTTTAATCAGAGCAAGTCATTACCATTCATAAATCAAGAAGAAAATCCTAATCGAAGGAGAATGGCATTCTTTTTTCTGTTAGCTATTGATGTCTCTTTACAAAGACAAATGGTCCTGTCTACTACTGGTGAGAACCTCAGTAGTAGAACCTGCTCTTTCAAGTATCAGACTTGAAAGACTTTCTACTCTCTAGAAATGTGTGGTTCTTAGAAGGCTCATCTCACTAAGTAGAAGAAGTGAAAGGTACTGTTTTTCCCGAAATATTTATTACTGTTGCAGGGGAACATGCTGATCTTTTCATTGAGAGGAACTGAAGGAGATTCTCCCCTCCCCCCAAAAAAAGATTTATTCATTTATGTATACAAGAGTTGGGGTGTAGGCCAGAGGTTTCCCCAGAGACATTGGGGAGCAGAATAGGCAGATGGACTCAAATCCACTGCTGAGGGGAGCAGCGGGGGACAGGAGAGGTCCTCTGTGCCCTGGGGGTCCCTCTCTGGCAGGGATTGAACTTGCTGCAGTGCTGCCTGGCTGCGGGTAGCTTCATAGTGCTGAGATTTAACGCCTTTGCCCTGCCGGGAGGCGCAGGACTCTTCTTACTCCGACTCTTGTTGGTAAAAATGATCGGGGGGAAAGACCGTCTTCTCCCTTCATGGGAAGGGGATTTACCTGAAAGTGAAGAAAACTGCTTTCTGTCGTCTGATAGCAATTCTGAGGTTCATCTAGTTTGTCAGCGCTTTCTGAAGCCCTTGGTGCTTCCTTGTCTCACCTAGGCGGCCAGGAGACTGAAAACAAAAGATTGTTTACAAGAAAGAGCTGAATTGAAGATTAGCAATGTGAATTTCAATCCTGACTCTGTCACTATTACTTTAATTTTGACCACATCCTTTAACTTCCCTGTGTGCTCTTACTTTAAAACAAAACAAAACAAAACAAAACATTAGATTAAAATCTCAAAGGCCCTTTTGTTTTATATTATCAAAAGATCAGATCTGTTAGCTTGAAAAAAAACCAAGTAGCTTTATTGGTGACTGAAGCTAAATTGTCAACTTGTTCAACTTAAAAAACAGCTTTCACAGTGTTATAGTGCAGTGTTACTTTAATTAGAAAAGGAAAAGAGTAAGTAAAAAGCAACCTTTGATAATAGCTTAGATTTCAGCCAGACTGAGCCTTGGCCAGAATAAAAAACAAAATCCCCAACGCAGCACACCCTTGCGCCGGCACTGCTCACGCTCGCTTCTTTCTGTGACGTGCGGGCGGGCGGGCATCGGGGGCTCCCCAGCCCTTGTCTCCCGTTTCCAGCAGCAGCCTCCTCGGCTTGGCCTCCTCTGTTAAGCTTCCACTGTAGCAGTATGGGCCAGTTGTTCAGAGTGCTTCTTGGCCCGGGGCCCGTTAATAGGCCGTTGTCCACACTCACGAAGGAAATAAGCTCTGTGCACCTGAACTGGGAAGATAGTTCAGTAGAAACAGAACTTCCTTTAGAACTTCGTCTTTGGGTGCTTGTTCTAACAGAAAATCTCAAAGAAACCAACTCACATGCAGAAGCTCAGTTACCCAAAATCGCTTTCTTTTCTCTTGTTCTCCCCTGAACTTCTAAGAGTGAGTGTGTGCAGCGCGCCTAGAGTGATGGTGCTTGAGCCCTCTCTGTCGCCGAGGATTTGAAAGCAATCGACAGGTGCAGTGTACCCATCGGGCTTCAGAATATCTCCATAGGGAGCACGCTTGGGGGCTGGGAGAGGCTGGAGTTGTAACCTGTGGTAGCTTGTCACGTACAGAACTAACAGTTGGTGGTTTTTCTCCGAGATTTCTGTCCAGAAATCTTGTATTTTTTTCTAACTAGCATCCAGATAAGTTTTGCATTGTCTTTGGTGGGCCTCGCTAGAGCAGTTCCCACCCCTGTGTAGTTTTCAGGCCTCAATGAGATGTGTCTGTACGCTTTAACGTGCTGTACAGATATGAACTGGTTAGTGGGGATAAGTCATTGGCCAACGCTGTATTGGCATCTCAGTTCAGGCAACAGTTAAGGAAGGGGAAACTGGAGAAAGTGGAGATAGATGCCCACTAGGTGGGGAAGCCTGCGGCTGCACGACCCCCGCAACTTAGGAGCACACGCCTTGGGGTACCGGGTGTGGCGTGCGGTCAATAGAACGAATAGGAGGTGGGGAAAGGGAAATCGCTGAGTGTCAGGCATGTGCTGAGGTCTTTAAAAATGAGTCAGTGAGAGGAAGCCCGCCTGGGCCTTTCCCGCTGTGACCACCCACCCCTGTAACAAAGTGTATTGCCTATTGTGGACCTATGGTGGTGTAGGCATTTTGAGAGTTTTGGCTGATGATTCCTGACATCCTCAGGAGAAAGGTTTTTCTGGAAGAATACATTTTAAGGACAGCGCTGTCCTGTAGTCAACCTCCCCCACAAGCGGGGAGCTATAGACAAATCATGGATGGGATTGTAGGGTGATGCTACTCGTTAGAGAACGTTTCACAAAGATACTGGAAACCAAAATTCTGGTCATCCATAGGGATGAATCCATTTCCCTCAACTGCTGGCCAGACGAATGTGTGCCTTGCCCAGTGGTCTCTTTCCCTACCCGTGCCCCCCCCCCGCCCCCATTAAAGGGAAAACCTGCTTTCTGGTGAAGTGTGCTCTGTGTATGCTGTTGTGGCTTTTCAGGCTCATGGCCGTGGCTGTACCCAGTTCCCGGTACTGTCGCTCTGTTTTTCTTGGGTCTCTGGAGCAGTCTAAGTGTCAGGGCCGCGCTGATAAAATTCTTTAGATATTTTTCTCTTCTATTATTTGCTAAGTTGACTCTGATCTTTGGCCAAAACTTCAGACATGGAAGAAGGTAAATCTTAGGCCTGGTTCACCTCCCGGTTACTTGGTCTGATTGTGATGATGTAGACCACAGTATCTTTCTGCTGCAGCAGTAGCATTTTGGGGGTTAGTCTCAGTTTTGTAGTTGCTAAGCTCTGCAGCTGGCACCAAGATTCCACACAAAGTCCTCCCACCCTCCCTCTGCGTACTTTGCAAGAGTGTAGCAGCCCTAAAGCCACATGTTTGTGTGATAAAAATAGGGAAGGCAGCAAAGTAGAACTCTGTAGAAAGCAAGCCCCAGACCTACAGTGCCTTGAAGCCACTAAGCTGCTTCCCGCTCCGCAGTCTGACTCCTTGCATGCAGAGGTCACCCTCTTGGGTGCCCACTCTGGGACTGGGTGTTGGCTCTCCGTTCTGCCGAGATCCCTTCTGGGTGAATAGAAGGGGGACTGGGCCATTGACCAAGCAGTTCAGAATCAGCGTCTGTCTTAACTGAGTCACCCCGTTCCTGATGAGAATTACTGCTCGTGATCGTGTGCCCTACAAGCTTTTGTACTGGGGTTGGGGTGCAGGAGAACAGGAGCACGGCCTGCAGGGGCCTGCAGGGGCCGGCAGGAGCGCAGGCCTTTGAAAAGCTTGTGAGCATTTCCTGAAGGTGCAGACGGAGGACCCTCTGCCTAGTGGGGGCCAGCTGCGCCCCTGCACCAGTGCTCACCTGCAGCCCACACACCGAGCAGGTGATCCCTAGAGGAGCTTGGTCCCTGCGAGGGTGCCGTGCCAGTGCCTGAAGGAGCCGTTTCCTCACACAGTAGCATACTTGTGTAGCACTTGAGAGTCCATAAAGTATTTTGATTTAGCTTATCTCACATCTAATAGCCACTTAAACCTTAAAACACAGGTCCTTTTTGTTAAGCAGAACAGTTTTCCCGGCCGGGCAAGGGGTTTGCACCTGGGCCTTCTGACTTGAGATGGCACAGCGTGCTGGCTCTCCGAGGGCTGCAGGGGCGTGGCTGCTCTTGTTGGACACCGGGTTCCGCAGTCAGCCAGGCGCCGTTCTCCTCCTAGACCCGAGTGTCCTTGGCCCAGCCCTCCCTCGCCTGTTCTTTCGCCCAGCTGAAGCCCACCCGATGGGCTTGAGGCAGCTACCCCGGGCCTGCTGGCAGCCGCGCACCTGTGATGTGACAGCTCAGCGTCAGCAGTGCACATGGTGCGGTTTCCCGAGTCACTTTATGCCTGTCCTCCCGACGGCTGCGTGGCATTTCCCTCGCCGCCCTCATTGGGAAGAGAATGGAAGCCATCTGTTCCCCGTTTTCTGCCACGCTGACTCACTGGGGAAGGCACTTTCGCCGCTCTGCTATTGGTAAAAAAATACCTAGCCGTGGCCTTTGTCATCACAGTCTGTCCTCTGGGCCCAGCTTGCTTCTGAGCTTCTCGGGTGCCTTGATCTGGTCTCGACCAACCATAGTAAGAATGTTACCCAACGGCCCCCAGCCCGTGTCTGTCTGTGGCTTCGGTTTGATCCTGACCTGGGCAGGACCCGGGACCCGGGGCCTTACTCAGACGCTAGTGGAGCCCACTGACTACCACCCACTCGCCTCCTCTCTCGAATTTCCTTTAATGGCTAATCCTCATTCCCTTCGGCTTCTTTAGAACTAATTCACAGTGATCCACCAATAGTCTTTGAAGATAAAGGCCAACATTTTTCAGTATGAAGGGAGGAAGGTCTTCCAAGTGACTGTCCGACGTGACGATGGGTGAAAATTGTGGGACTGGCAAACCTTAAGGATGCATTTGACCTTTCAGAGTAGCTTTTCTGTAGATGCACCAAAGAGTCACTTTCTGAACACACTTGAGATGGTTCCTAAATGGAAGTGGATAAGAAATAGGTAATACTGTGAGCGCTAACCACACACTTGCCCTACCCATCTGTGCTGACTGCATGGTGAGCAGCGAGCTCAGCAGGGTTCCCGGAGGCTGCGGCACAACAGGCGAGGACGCGGAGGACACAGCGGCTTCAGCCTGCCCTGAATGCTTGTTCACTCTTCCCAGACAATATTTTCTCCTCAGTCTTCTCTTTACCCTTACTTTGTCACGAGGTAAACAATAGTGGAAGGAACAAAGTGCCATGGGTGTGCTCTAAAAGTTCGTCCTTGTAGGTCTGAGAGAGAAATCATTGATTGGGCCCAGACCCCAGGCAGGCAGCGTGGCTCTCGGGCCCTCCTCACCTAGGGTGCTGAGGGGCCCTCTGCCTCTGAGTTAGATGTGTCCCAGACAGACTTCCTGGAGAAAACGTAAATACTTGAGGAAGAAAAGAGACTAGGAACAGGAGAGTGGAATTTACATAAGGACCCTGGCGGACAAGGAAGGGACTCTTTAAAATTCCTGTTGGAAAGAATTTGATCTCCCTGAGCAAGAGGCAGGAGCCTGTTTGACTTGACTTAAGCCCTGATGACTTACGGGTTTAATGTGCTTGACGGAGGTTGTGTGTGTACATGCTAAAGGTCACATCTTGTTTATTTTTTTGACAGCATCTGGAATCAAGAGACCCATGACATCTGAGGTAAGTTTCATATTGATGCAGTAGTTACAGCAGCTGTCATTCTGGGGTAGGCGGGCCGGAGAGTAAATCCTAGTCTGGAACTAGACAGTTCTGACATTTCTTCAGTGGAACTCAGTACAACTCTACTTTTGTCGCATTTTACTATGGTACTGATAACAGCTCACATAGATTGAGCATTTTTAGTGTACCAAAGAGGCAGGCCTGCCTTTAAGCGCCATTTTAGAGACACCGTGCTCAGCTCTGCAACGACCTCTGTGGAGAGAGGACTGGTGCGGCTGTGATTTTTGTTGTTCTACAGCTGAAGAAAGCGAGGCCTAGCGGGTCTGCAGCTAGGGCCCCAGGGTTGGGCCGCAGGGCAGGCTGGGAGCAGATGGCCCGTGCTGACCTGTGCTCACCTGTGCTCACCTGTGATCGTGGCCTCTGGTCTACACGCCTGTGACACAGGCTGCCCCCGACGCATGAGCCTTTGCTTTCCGTTGGCCTTTCCGTGTGGTGTTAACCATTTGCTTACCTTTCTTCCTGTGGGCATTTCTCCTGCGACCGCTTGCCTCTCTCCTGGGTTTGTGACAGGAGCTTCCTAAACTGGACACTTTGGCCTAAGAGTTTAGGCTTTTGTCTCAAAACAAATCTCAGATTTGTCAGGCAGTAGGCTAAAGGTTTTCTTCTTAAGAAGAAGAAGCAAATTTCACATCAGGCCCTTGGATCAGGACGTCTGTTCCCACTTGTCTCTGCCTTTGGGACTGTAGGTGAACGTCTGGTGAAGCGAGCCTGCCTGGCAGTCGGCTGGCGTCACGGCCATGGCGTCTGGAATCGCTTTCCAGGTTCAGCTCTACTGGTCTTCCTCCTTCCTTATCTCAAGACTGTCGTGTGGGTGGAAAACAGCCGTCATCATGTCTCAGGAACCTCTTCAAGGCACTGAGACCCAGTCTCTGAGGAGTCATTCTGTTGCCTCAGCCTTGTCATTCCTGGGCTTTCATTACTAGCATTTGTTCTGCTGTTGAATTCAGTCTGAGCAAATAATATCCCGGTTCACCTGAAGGTTAGGGGCAGTCATTTCTGGAATTGCATTTGTGAATTTAGGTTTTTCCTTTTTTCTGGTGTTATTTCCTAGTTTTGTGTCATTTCTTTGAAGCTAACAGGTGAAATATGGGCGTTTTCTTTTCTATTCTTTTAATTGGCCAGTTCACTGGGAAGCAACACTGTGGCTGTGGTTAATGGTGTCCATCTTTGGAGGAGTTTAGAAACGTCCTTATCTCAAATGTGTTTTGTTTTGACCAACGACCAGGGTTGTTTGCTGGGACTCCTACTAATTTTGATTCTTCTTCCCCTAGGTGTCTCATCCCTCTGGCATGCCCGTCAAGAAAATAGGCCACCGAGGTGTTGATTCCACAGGAGAGACAACATATAAAAAGGTACGTCTGGGGAGAGCCCTTTCATTTACTCTGGGAAGGGCTAGTTCTGTCTCCTTGATGTCACCCCACCTTATGCCTCATCTCCTGGCCCCCAAGCCTTCGCATAGTACTTGTCAGGCAGCTCGGACTTTAGGGTGCACCTCACAGGGTGAGTTGGCACTTGTGTGTGTTGGGGGAGAATGTTCTCAGGGATCCTGTTCACTGAGTCAGAGACGTTGGGTTTCCCTGTTGGGCACGTGTGTGTGACAAGTCCCCACGACATTCTCGCCTGGCGTCAGCAGCCGCGCGCATCTCTAAGAAGTCCGTCTCCCTAGCACCCGGCGTGTGCGGGAGAGGCCACAGGCTGGGTGTCTCCGTTCTCTCCTGGCGTGCACAGTTTGTTCTTAAGTTGTAGTTCGGCTGGTGACGAGGCCTAGAATACGTGCACTTTGGGCTTTGGCTGTCACACAGTTGGAAAGATGATCGTGATCATCAAAAAGCTAGCAATAGGGCAAAAATCAGCCTGGTGAAGGGAGGGCAGGAGAGACGTCCTGTGGCGGTCCCAGCTCTGCAGTTCTGGGCTCACTTGGTGCCCGGTGAACATGTGCGTTAGGGCTCCGTTTCTGGCCTGTGTAAATGTCACTCCTTTGTTCTCTGCCTTTGCTGCATTGTCCCAAGTAATAGAGGAGACAGATGGATTCTTAGTAAAGGGGCCTGGCTCCCGGGCAGGGGCTTTCTGATACCCAGGTCAGTTCAGTAGAAAACTGAGTTCTTTTCATGTGCTAATAAGCATTGAGCTTCTAGTTGGAGAGGCAAAAACCTCTTATAGAAGTGGTTACAGTTGTAATTCCAGCGAGGGCTAAGATCAGATTCTCATGAGAGCTGATGAGCGAAACCCTTGAAGGCAGACTGTCCTTCAGAGCTTGCCCCGGGAGGTGAAATGGGCTTCTGGGCCATCCTGGTGTGTGCTGAGCGCCGGCCAGCAAGACCTGCGAAGAGAGCGGCCCTCACTTTAATTCTGATTAACTTCAAGTAGACGCGGGCTGCACAGGAAGCACAGCCCTACCCCGCCAGAGCGCCCTGACTTTTGTTACATTCTGTGTAGGCGGGGTACCCGTGCCCGTGCGGCAGAAACCTTTGGAGTGAAGTGAGCTCGAAGTTCCTCTGGTGCGCAGAGCGTCTTCCAGCTCAGTCAGGGGAGAGCCACCTTGCCCAGCTGCGGCCGCTCACTCAGCCCCACTCAGGCTCCTGCGTCCCCACACGCTCACGCCTCTGCCAGGTCTCTGCTGTGGAGAGCAGGGGCGGCCCAGCCTGGCCGGCACTGCCCGGATGGTGTTTGCTTTTGAGTCTCCTCCTGAGCTTCCGTGGCTCTGGTCAGATGATGTGCAGGCGTCGCATTGTCATGCTGTTCTCCTTTGCTTGGACTGCTTCGCGGTCTTATTAGTGCCTGAAACTTTCCTCTTGTTTTCTGTTTGCCAGACGACCTCCTCTGCCTTGAAGGGTGCCATCCAGTTAGGCATCACTCATACTGTGGGGAGCCTGAGCACGAAACCGGAGCGGGATGTCCTCATGCAGGACTTCTATGTGGTGGAGAGTATCTTCTTCCCCAGGTACAGAGGTTAAAGCGACCTCAGAGAATTTTCCGGGTCTAATTTGGGCTGATGTCCTAGTGATAGGGCACTGGAGACCTTCATCAGGGTGATGTGGGAATGGCGCGTGAGCCCCCGGCCGTGCCGTGCGTGCTGAAGCCCAGTTCAGTGCGTGGAGTGGGAGGCAGCGTGGTGGCCTGTGTTCTGGCCGTGTCCCGTGTGATGCCTCAGTCCCACCAACGCTGACTCACCTAATCCCCTGGATCTGTCGGGCTGTCCGGGCCCGCGCCTGCTCGACTGCACCTCTCCCCTGGGTGGATGACGGCTTCTTCTGTCAACCCCACAGTGAAGGGAGCAACCTCACGCCTGCTCATCACTACAACGACTTTCGGTTCAAGACCTACGCGCCTGTTGCCTTCCGCTACTTCCGGGAGTTATTTGGTATCCGGCCTGATGATTACTTGGTAAGCTTCCAGGTCCCAGGGCCCTGTGACTGGGGTCAGGGGCTTCTCCCAAGAGCGCTGCGCCCATCTTGCTCTGATTGTTCTCGAGCAGAATTGCACGTGCAGTTATTTCTGCCTGGGCCCGCCCCGGTCTCTCTGAGCCTCTTGTCCCCCTCTCCCCGGGCCCAGTACTCCCTCTGCAGTGAGCCGCTGATCGAACTCTGCAACTCGGGCGCCAGCGGGTCCCTCTTCTATGTATCCAGTGATGACGAGTTCATCATCAAAACGGTCCAGCATAAAGAAGCGGAGTTTCTGCAGAAGCTGCTTCCAGGATACTACATGGTGAGGAGGGGAGGGCCGCTGAGCCACTGAGCTCCACTCCCAGCGGGTCTCTGGGGTGGGCCTGCGCCCATGCTTCTCCCCCACCGTCTTTGCTCTCTTGTGGCCACAGGAGTCCTCTTATTTTAATAGAAGATTTGTTTTATTTATTTATTTATGCACACAGGAACTGGGGTACAGGGATGAGAGGACGCCCCAGAGACAGAGTGGGGGAGTAGTACAGGCGGATCCACCGAAACCCACTGCTGAGGGGGCAGCGGGGAGACAGGAGAGGTCTGCTGCGCCCTGGGTCCCTCCCTGGCCCGGAATGGAACTCGGGCCTCAATGGCCTTGGTGACTTGATAGTGCTGAGACTTAACCCCTGTGGCACCAGGAAGGCCCCCAACGGAGTTCTTTCTCAGTCCTGAATTCAGTTATTTGCCCTAAACCGCCCTACTGAATGGAAAGATTCAGTGATGATTTTCTTTTCTGTTCTTAGTCAGCCTAGCTTCTAGACGTCAGATGAGGTTGGTTACTTCCCTCAACAGGGCGCCATTCCGTCTCACTCTGGAGACTGTTCCTGGAGGCTGGGAAGTACAGCGCTCCCCTGCCTCCCCCAGAGTGTGCCGGGCCAAGTGCTCTTAAACCTCTCTGAAGGAAGGAATAACGCCATTATAAGTTCACTCCTCACCACTGAGAGGCTGTCGAAGGCCCCTCTGTGGAGGGTCTGACTTAGCTCAGTGGTGAGCCATCATTGAGTGAGTTGCATTGGAAATTTTTGAACAAGTCAGGTGTGGGCTTGGACAGTCAGATTGTAAGTGACCCCCAAGGAGGTTGGGGGAGAACTTTGCCCATGAGTCTCCTGAAAATGGGCTAACCTGCTCTCCTGCCCTGCTGCTGTGCCTTCAGAACCTCAATCAGAACCCTCGGACTCTGCTGCCCAAATTCTACGGCCTGTACTGTGTGCAGGCCGGTGGTAAGAACATTCGGATTGTGGTGATGAACAATCTCTTACCCCGCTCGGTCAAGATGCACATCAAGTATGACCTCAAGGGCTCGACCTACAAACGGCGGGCTTCCCAGAAGGAGCGAGAGAAGCCTCTCCCCACCCTGAAAGACCTGGACTTCTTGCAAGACATCCCCGATGGCCTCTTTTTGGATTCCGACATGTACAACGCGCTCTGTAAGACCCTGCAGCGTGACTGTCTGGTGAGTTGGCCGCGCGTCGCCTCTGCCAGTCACCCAGCATCGTGGGCGTCAGGGCCGTGGGAGGCAGGACACTGCTGTCAGCTCCATATGTCCCCGGTAGGAGGCAGAGACTCGCTTAAAATAACTTGAGGCTGCGAAGCCTTTACACTTCACGCTCCCGCTTCTCCCCTCCCAGGCTTCGCTTGGCTGCCCGCTCCCGTGAGGCCGCAGCCCCGCAGCCGCGCGTCCTCCTCACCCTCGCATGCGCGGTACCCCTAGGTCTGGGTCCTGCTGCCGCCTCCAGGCTCACACTGTGGAAGCTGGGTGCACTGGGGCGGCCTCAGGGCGTGGCTGGTCTGTGTCGCTGCTCCCCGGGCTGGTGTTGCTCATCGGCCTGTTCCCTTTTGCTCTCCGCAGAGATTTCAGATGCCTCTCTCCTAGCACCCACCCCCAGGCTTCCTTCTCAGCGAACACCTCTGCTCTGTTCCCTCCCTTTGGCCTGCCGCATCAGAACCCCGGCCTGTAGAGGGCTCTGCAGCTCCCTGCCCCCACACGGGTAGACAGTGCGGACAGAGGTGGGGGTTCGGCCCCCGCTGCGCTAGCAGAGCCGGGCATACAAGAGGGCAGCAGACCTGCTGTGAGTTGGCTCGGTACACGCGTGTTTCTGCTTGCTTTCCGCAGCGTGCCTGCCACGAGGGAAGAACAAGGGGCTGGGTAACCCTAACGCATTTACGCGGGTGAAAGAAGGCTAAGGGGGTAGAAACGAGTCATCAGAAGAGCAGCAGCAGAGGGTGATCCTGGGTCAGTCAGGCTGGAGGTTCCCTGTGGAGAATGATTAGATCAGAAGAGCTGTGACATCTGGGGACCCTCATGCCTCCTAGCGCTCAGAGCGTGATTTTTCCTTCATTAGGTGTTACAGAGCTTCAAGATAATGGACTACAGCCTCCTGATGTCCATCCACAACATCGACCACGCGCAGCGGGAGCCCTCCGGCAGCGAAGTGCCGTGCCCCGGGGACGCCCGCAGACCAGCCCCCCAGAAGGCGCTCTATTCCACAGCCATGGAGTCCATCCAGGGCGAGGCGCGCCGAGGTGGCACCGTGGAGACTGATGACCAGTGAGTGCACGGGCTAGAGAGCACAGGCGTGAGCCCTGAGTCTTGAGGAGGGACCCAGCTTCTGGGGAGGAGTGAAACCCGTGGTCAAGAACGTACGAGCTTTCTTGGGGAAAATGCTCTCGACGTGGGAGAGTTTCCGGGGCAGTGCTTTGAAGTTCTTAGACATGTCTGCACGTTGCATCAGAACATTATCGGAAGTAGTTTGTTCTGGCTTCTTCGCGGAGGGCGTTGTCCTCAGCGAGCACTGTGGCCGGTGAGCGTGCGTGGTCAGGGCAGTGGCGCACAGGCCTCGCGGTGGCGCAGCTCACCGCAGACGCGACTCCCGTGGCTCAGATGTTCCAGAGAGCTGAGGAAGCCGGGCTGGGCGAAGCATCCCCCGGTTGACTGCTTGCAGGCTGTCCTGGGGGCGGCATGGGAGACCAGTGGGCTCTGGAGAGAGGCGGTGCTGCCGCTGCGGCGCGGCCCTGCGGCCGCTGGGGCCCCGCCCTGCCCTGGCGCTGAG